GATACTAGGGGCGTCTTCAGGTAGATGGAGTTTGAACAGAAGACCCTTCCATCATCTTCTTACTTGAAAGCTTTCCCTAACAATCCATGGACATGGCACATTTGCCGCCCATTGGGGCAATTGACAATTGATCTACATGTTTTAAAGGCCAGATCGTCAGATCAATCACCATCTGCGTCCCATATATGCCAGCCCTTTCCAACCAGCGACACCGTCTCAACAACGAACGGGAAGCATCTCGTAGAACAAGACATGGACCGTCAACTCTTCCTTCGATCCGCCGGTTCGGAACGAAAAGACCAGAGTCAGAGGGCTGGCGACGCGGCAAAGACGACAAGACGACGAAGCACCATGGTATGTGGTAGACGGCACGTTAACTGTCTAGAAATTCGACGTAGAAAGCAACTCTTCCCCTAAAAAGATCGATCGCCGTAAAGGATCGTTCGACATCTTCCACCGGTCGTCAAACCATCGAAGGTTCCATTCCCAGACACGACTAAAGGGACTGCCATACATGCCGATCAGGCCAGGGGTAGTACGAGGGGGGGTCAATCTATAGGCATATATGGCACACACGGAGTGTATGGGATTCCTGTTCCATCCTCTTTTTTCCACCACCACGGCAACCCTGCGAACCCCACTCCGCGCAGCAGGTGCTGAACGGCCGGTGGACTTCAACAACGGGACCGGTGTCGCCCCGTTTCGCCGCGAACCTCGTCCGTGGTGCGATGTGATCTTGAAAGGCGTTCCACGAAGACATCGATTTGGTGAATACATGACATGAGCAGAGATATGGAAAGGACAGATGAGGAGAGACATGGACCAATGGAGAAAGGATTGGATCCGACCGAAAAGGCGTCGACCTTTTGGGTGCCTTTTGCAGGATGGTACGCCTGGCAGCTAAAAGTGCTGAGGCAGGACCATGGAAGATGTACAAACTACAAACACACTGCGGTGCCATTTGCAGAGATGGGGAGCAGGTCAAAATCCCACTCAATGAGGTCCCCATTCGACAGGCGGTGGTCGCCGTTCAAGCCAGGTCACCTCTGGTGGTGCAAGCAAGATCATCAGAGCTCCAACCACCAAGTATAACCTGTATAGCTTGGTGATTTGGAGCCTCCAGCAGATGGGTACGAATCGAGACTGCTATCCTGGTTGGTGTTATGACATGTTATGACCATCAACGAACACAAGCTGTTCATTTGTTCACCCTGCTGAAAAAAACACTCTGCTGCATCAAACAATTCGCACCGTTTGTGGATGTAATAACATGTATAGTAGTATATATATATATATATACCATTTTTCCTCCACACGTCTCGGAACACACTCTGCAGCGCTCGTGTAGACGTCCGAACAGTTCCTTGCGGCTCGACCGCCCCCACCCTGCGACCGTCCACGCTTTGAGGCTTTGGCCGGACCAAAGACTGTCCGCCAAGGCGCGCAGGGAGGGAAGGAGAGAGCCGAGGTCTTGTGCCGCGAAAAACAGCTGCGGTTTTTTGAAGATCCCTGGAAGTCCAAGATTTCGTTTTAGTAAAATCCGTAAAAAGATAAAACACTAAGTGGTTCGTTTTCAGCTTCAGCGGAAGGGTTCCCATGTGAGTTCACCCGACACCTCACGGCGGAACATCACCGTCACCTCGCTTCACCCGAAACACGTCACCGGCGCGCGTTCGCCGCGTGCCGCGCGGAGGCCCGCACGTGGCTGTGACGAGCCGCGTGGTCTTGCAACCGAATCCCAACTTCGATGCATCCCCGAGCGCTCGCGCCATCAAGGCGGGTCCGAAGGGCTTCAGGTCCAAAGCGGGGTGGTTCACCAGCTCGAAGTGGCGAAGGAACCAGTCGCAATTTCCAGGGATGCCAGTCACCGGTCACCTTCCAACCGAGGAGCTCCGAAGAACATGAAATCCAGCGAAAGCCAACTGGTTGCTTAAGGAGATGACTAGGAAGTCCTTCTTTGAAGTGTGTGAACAAAGAGAGTTGGACAAGGCAAGTTCAAGTGACTACCCATAGGCTTTCGATCTAGCAAATCGTATGTGTATGTGCTGCGGAAAAACATTATACAAACAGCATTAAAAAGAACACATAGGTGAAAGAAAACGACGGATGGCAGCGTCATTACTTCTTTTTGCTTTGGACCCAACGGCAGGCGCCCGCTCCAGTTAGCAGTCCCTTGAAGAGTCCTCTCAAGAGCCCTCTGTCAAAGGCCGGCGCAGAACTCGAACAGGGTTGGATAGGGTTGGGCTCGTTTCAAAGTGAGAATCGTCTCCCTGGGGGTCCAGTCGGACCAAGTAAAACCCGGTGTTATACCTGATTTGTATGACTGTGAAATGAGGTAACCTGGGTCGACCCGATCGTCTCAAAACAGCTGCTCCTCCGGGTTTTCTGAAGACCAGCTTTCCACCTGAATCCCAAAGTCAAAAATGTATGATCAGTATTACAACATTCATAGAAATGATCCTTTACATATTACTCATTGCAACTCAGGTAAGCTCACCTCAATGCGCTTGGGGAGCTAATTAAGCCATAGCGTGCACAGTAGCATAATCTAAGCTGTGTAGTAGCTTAACCGCTTGGTAGGTTGTACAGATCGAGTTATTAACATTAACTTTTTAGTGTTATTGCCGCAATTTCAGGAATTGACTCAATTTGATAGCTCAGTTAATTGAAGCTGTTATTTACTATGATTGCACTGCACTTATCAATGATAATGAATGAAATGTATATTGAACTGTAATGAACTGTAAACTGACAATGGTAGGTAGCATAACATATAACAGATATATGTAATGTATTAAAGATGTATGCTGACAATGAAAACCCGTTATTTGGTGTTTAGTACCCTACGGGTTGTCCACAGAAAGATTTGTTTTGAGATTGAGACATTGATACAAGTAAACGATGGCAAAATCTCTTTATGACGACGCATCAGCAAAAGTACCGTGCAGAAGACACAAAACTATTGAACATTTTTTAGAGTACAAGAGCTGTAATTTGTGTGACATGAAAAGAGACTTTCAAGAATTGGGTGGTATGGTTATTACCAAAAAAACACACACACACAAACGTAAAGCAACAAGTAAAAGTGGTTCTAGGTGTTGGCTTTGGGACCTTCAGGCCCCGAGTCCTGGCCTTGTCTCCGGTTTTTCTGGGGCACTGGGCCTGAGAGGCGGGTGGCGCTGCATGCACATCGCTGCAGGTACCATCCACCCGTCCCTATGTGATGCCACCCCGCCACAGTGCCGAGGCTCAACAGGCTGGGAACGAGTTGAACGAGTCTCGGGGATTCAGAAAAGGCATTAAAAAGCGATGCGTTCGTGGATAGAGACCCCCAAATAGAATAGAAGTTCGTAGATTTCCACGTAGAACATGTATATGAAAAAGCCGTGCTATCTATTTGCGGGCCACGAAGAGGACTAGCAGCATCAGCATCACGCGTTCGCTCTGCTTTTTGAAGGTTCAGCTTCTGGGAGAATTTACCAAGACTTTGCAGCCGGGTGCTTAGTGCCTAGAGCAGGACCCAAAAGGTTTCTATTGATCGCCGCGTTGGATGTTGGGTGTCCATTGACCCACAAGCTTGTGGGTCCAGTGCGGTGATCGCTGGGTACTGCGCGAATTCACCGAGTTTGACAGACCTGCCGGGGGCGACCTGCCGAACCCGGCGACGGAGCCGAACGGTCGACCGGCCGACGGAGCCCAGGTCGATTTTAACGAAGCTTCAGAACACGGAGCTTCCGGACAGCCAGAGGGAAAAGCCGCGGCCCCGAGGTTTTGGCCAGAACGGCCGACGGAGGGGCACGGATCGTTCGGGGTTGGGGCAGATAGGACGGTTTTGGTGTGGCAGACAGAAGCTTCTTTTTTTTTCTTCGCGGCGTGAGGTATCAAGCAATGGCAGATAAGATTCACAACAAGATCAAAACCATCAAGTTGGCGGGTTCGGCGCGGGTCCCAGTCGCGTCCTGGGCGGAACCGGCGGAACCGCGTCGGGTTGCGTCAAGAGACTGGCATGGTTTGCGGACACATGAGAGGAGAATGATTGATGATAGATGTATAATTAGATCAAATTGACGCACTGGATACAGGATTGACAGGAATAAAGTCATTGAACATGATAATCTGACAGACGTATTCAGCTGATCGAAAGAAATTGATTGAAGCATCTATACCTGGCACTCTGGCACTTGTGAGTATACACACTTATTTTGTTTCTGTAAAACATCGTGCTAATTGCAGCTCTTGTATACCCTGGGAGTCCAAGACTATTAAACAAATGATCTTTCGGTGACCTGAGCTCAGGATTTTCCTTTACTTCAGTCGGTCAAAATTTGGTCAAACTGAACTTCCAGGGACTGCGTTCCATGTCAGATGCAGTCCCTGTTGCTTCTGATCTTTTCAGGAAAAGCAGACCCAACCAGAACCAGTTGAGATCCGACCCCTACCCACCGCTGGCACCGCAGCGTGCGCATCGCCTCAGTCGTTCCGCTGCACAGGTGAGGCGACGTTGAGCCGAGCCGGACCCAGCCGCCCTGCACTGACGAGTCAGAAGGGTCCGACAGTCGGAGGCGGCCTTTGGAGGTTTGGAGGTTCCAGAGCTGTTTGTGTTTCGTTCTTTTTTGGAAGCAGATGCTGTAGGCTTATAAGCAGAATCTTGGAACTTTAGATTTCTCTAGAGCAGTTTAGAATAGTTTAGAGCTCCAAGACTGCGCCAAGTGAATGTTTCAGCAAAGACTGCCTCGGCGATGCAGCTGGCAGCTGACCAGCAAAGCTTTCAATTTCCTGCTGAGTGCCGGCGACTTGCTTCAGCCTGCTCCTTCCATCAAATTCGTAGCTCTTGTGAATAGATGCCGCAAATGGCCCCCCTTTCTGTGGCGCAGACGTCACGGAATTATAAACACAGGGTTTCACTTCGAGGAAGTGCATGCCAGAGTTGGGCAGTGCACAGTGCGTTGCTTGCGTGAAATGCGCCCAGCAAAAAGTGTGGACTGTTGGAAGCTTTGCATTCTGTTGCAGTGATTGCTGCGCAGTCTGCATCAGCTGCACCCATATTTTTTTCCACAATTCTACCCCAATACATCGTTGCAGTCACAGTGTATTTACTTTGCCAGCCAGCTGGCTCAGTTTTAAGAGCCTCCGCACAGTCTTGTAGACTCTGCCAACCTTCTGTTCGTTTGATTGCAGCAATGTCTAGAGCTTGGAGGGAGAAACTCAAGAGCTTGAAGGCTTTCCTCACTCTTGTGTCAACGAGGAAGTTCTGACGTGACGAGGCAAGTCCACACGTTTGCGACATTCTCAAATCCAGCCGTCCGGTGCCAAACGTCCGGGCTCCCATCAAGATGGAAGATCTAAGCAAGATGCGATCTATCGGTTTTCATAAGCTGAGGTGATTTCTTGAGTTTTTTTTTTAAACTTCAGATACTTGTTCAGATCGTTTCAGAGACCTTTTTTTCCACAGCCCAAAAAGATCAGCCTGAACACATCTGAAAAGTTGAGGCCAACAATGAATGCAAGGTCTGATCCACAAGCAAACATGGAGCTTTGTCTCTCTTTTGGATCTCTTACGTCTTGCAGATCTGCTTGAGGCCCAACGTCAGCCTTCTCCAACGTCTCTCGTTGGGGGCTCCCGGTGCTACGTCACACCGAGAGCTCAGCTCGACGGTGTTTGCTTCGAGGTGTCAGGTGAAGCAGAAGATCCATGGCTTCTTCTTCGGAAGCGGCACCGGCTCGCCAGTCCAGGACAACCTGGTGGAGGTGCGCGCGCTGCGCGCCCGGTCCACCTGGCGGTGGGATGACGTGGGAGACCGATGATACAGGCCATGACCATCCTGGAAGATCTGGTCGTGTGTAGCGTAGCGAACATGGTAGACTGGTCGGACTGCAGCGTCTTGGACAGATCCCTACATAGGTCGAGAACAGCTTAGCTCATGTGTCGACCAGCACCGGCCCTATGCATTTCTATGCCCTCTTCGCACTAGAGGCCCCGGTGCCACATGAGCAGGTTGTGCGGCGGAATCCCGTCGCGGCCTCCAGCCTTCTACGAACCGTCTCGTGGTTCAGCCCAGTCCTCAGCATGGTGGGACAGGCCCAAAAGGTGTGAAAGACCCGACCCTTCTGGCGTGGCGAAAGAAAAAAGACACCGCTTGCAAGTACATTCACATGGACATGTTTGTTTAACATCATCCACTGCATTCTCATCCAGCTTGGGGGGTTGGATCCCAACTCTGACCTGTGATACTGGCGCAATGCTCAGCTGCCTGGGGCCCACAGGTGCGGTGGGGAACTTGGCCTCCGCCACCAGCTGCGGAGCCCGGGAGCCCGGCCGCCTCATGGTGTGGGAGCCGCCGAAGGGTCGTGAGGGAGTCGAAAGCGACAAAGCCAATCGAAGCACTGGCGGCAGCGACTCGCAGACGATGGTTGATCTTTCTGGCCTGCCTGAGGTCTTCCTATGGCTGTACTGGACCAGTTGTGCCACATGTGATCGGCCACTGAGGCCGACCCAAAATTGAGGGGAGGGCAAAAAGACGGGTGACGGTCACGTGTTTTTCATCCCTGCAATCGAGGTGTTGGCTGCTGCTTCAATCTTTCTTGCAGGTGCTGCAACTGTTCCATGCTCAGAGATGCAAACCCCCAAAAGAGAACGATGTCATTTTTATGGCGGCGCCAGCATCTTCAGCCTGATTCCGGGTGCTGGCGAAATGCAGAGAACTAATGCCCCCATGTCAGTGCGGCCGGGGGCCCCTTCTCGCCTCCCGGGCCCCTGCTGCTTGGCCGCCCAAGGCCCGTCCGCTTGGTACTTCTGCACACGATGCGGCACGTGGAGGTGGGGGGAGTGCCGTTTGTGCCGTTTCGAGGCGCTACTGCGCCGTAGGCTAGGCTACTGAAGAGGCCAATGGTCACATCCCATCCCAGAGCATCCATGTATGGAATATCGTTACTCACTGTATCTTACTATTTGTTGCTATTATGTCTTTTGTTACTTACATTAGAGCCAATAGATGGGGTAGGACGATGGGTCGTACGTATGGCCCTTCGTGGCACAGGTCTAGAGGGCCGGTCCGTTCCACCCAGCAGTCGTCCGTTCCACCCATGTCGTTCGAAGCACCAAGCAGTCGGGGTTTCTTCCTGGTGGGCGTGCCTTTTCTTCTCAGCTTATTGTTACTAGTAGCGATGCCAGGAGCCCCTAGTAGCGTCCTTGCTCCTAGTATATAGTAAGACCACGAGCCCCTAGTAGCTTCTTGTTACTAGTAGTCTTCTTCTTTCTTCCCGGTTTGAGAGAAGACTCTCGCCTTCTCGCTTGGCCACCTTTCGCAGGTGTCGAGTGGCGACTTCCAGGAGTGGATCACCTCATTGACCTCCTCCCAAGCGGGAGAGCTGAGTACCGGCGAAGCAGAGAGCCGAGTGAACGGCATGGAGCGGCGGAACGGGAGTCCTTGGGTCATGCGCATACCTTGGTGGAACTGTCCATTGCGCCTACTGAACAACAGGGCCTTGGGATGGCACGTTTTTTGGTCAAAGCCAGATCGACCAAACGGCACAAAGCCCAACATCCTAAACCAGAACTTTCGTCTGACTCATTTTACCACACCTGGAAATCATAATCCTCCAGACTACCATCTGCCTTTCTCGGCTTTTTTTACACCGCTGACTCTGCAAAAACATGCAGATCGACACTCTGGCGTCACCCCGCTTCGCCGCATAAAATGAGTGAGTCAGGCGTGGCAAATGAGCAAGAAAGTGGCAGTCTTCCAGTGGGGCGCCCTTCACCAGACCGTCAGACCGTCGCCCGCGCAGCCCGCATGGCCGCGCAGGGCACGCGGCGTTTCGCGCGTGTCGCACCGCTGGGGCCGGGGGGACGTAGAACTCGCGCCCAGGTATGGCTGGTTCGTGTTGGGCATGGTCTGGTGGGTGCACACCGATGAGTGTCCAGAGTGTCCGTCCATCTCCAAGCTCATGGTGGCGGCCGGGAAGCTCGTTGGGAAGGGGCTGAAAAGCCAGAGATTGGCATCATCAAGGAGAGCGTGGCACACACACACACACGACGATGACAGTGGAAGAGATGTTCAACGTCTGTAACCCCCTCCGCACATGGCATGCACCAACGCTTTGACTGGACGGAAGGGCGTCAAAGCTGATCGCCATGCCGATCGCCGATCGCTGTGTCGTTGAGGTCATGTCCCTCTCAGTGGCACGTGCCAGCATCGCCGTGTGCCTCTTTCGCGGTCTCTTCACCACAGAGGAGACCCCAGACAAAGTGGCTCGGCAGCGAGTCTCCAAGAGCTTACAAATGCAATGCCAGTAGAGACATGAAGAGACGGGCGCTGGACTGGTCATTCATTCACACGTCTGTTTGCAACATTTGACACATGCTGTCAAGGATGCGGCATGTTGCTCTGTGTCAGTCACAGCAGCTGAGGCTCCAGCTGCTGTTGGAGCTAGGGTCTCAGATTCGGGAGTCTGTGCACTGGCATGTGCCTTACCGCCAGATCCATTGCATGTTTCTTGCACTTTCTCACATTGTGAAATCTACTGTCTGAACTGTTCTACAGTATTCTACAGTTTCACATGTTCTACCAGCCACATGCCCCCTCCAAAAATGAAATCTGCTTGCCCCCGGAAAAAGAAACAACGCCTTGAAAGAAAAAACCATGGCAGTCCTTGATCCTTCCAGCTTCTTTCTCAGGCCAGCCATGCGCAGATCAAAGCGTTGCCCGCCTTCCACATGCTCTTAAAAGACGAGGCCACTTCACAGGCGCCACCAGTGAATCCCTGGTGGGTGGGTGGGTGGGGCGGTGTTAGAATAGGCAGAGCTCTGGTCTAAACCCCCATGGGAAGAAGGAGCAGAGACCATAAACACCCACAAACCCATTGGTGGTGGATGGTGGTGGGGGTTTTCCCTCTTTAAATATTTTAAGTACACACCTTAGTAAAACAATGATTGAACAATGATTGTTCGATAAAAACCATTCAATCAATGGTGGTAGGAATCCTAGGGTATGTGTTCATGTCACTGCAAATGGGCCGTGGCGTGATGTGTACCAGGAGCCCGACGGTCGTCCTGTTCGTGTGAGCCAGAGAAAGCGGTGGGTCTCCTGGTGCCGGCTGTCACAGCCAGATCGTGGCTTTTCGTGTACCTAGAACCCGACCTCGTTTTTGATAGGAAAAGGATGGCAAAGGCCATATTTTGAATAGTTGATCCTCCAAAATAGAGGTCACTGTATTGATTGGATCTGACCGGTGGTGACCCCTTCTGGACCCTTCTGGATCCAGGAGCCCTGCTCCATTTGCTTGTGCAGCTTCGCGGAGGGCGCTCTGATGCGGAGGTGCGATTCGTGTGTCGGACGCGCGTGACCTCCGCGCGCGTGACCTCCGCGGACGGTGTGGTGGGTCGTGATGTCCTGGACGTCACAGCCGCATCAGACTCGTCATTTCTGGTGTTGATGATATGTTTTTGAAGTAAAGACCTAGTCCTTGACATGGACATGTAGAATGTTAATTCATAGACTCCACCTATATACCAGAATGATAACAACATCTCCAGAATGCCTATTTTTCAAACAACAGGCTGACATGATCTATATACGTCACGCTTCATGGATGTGTTTCTCAGAAACAATGATGTGGTGGTTTGCACTTCTCGGCGTCCGGGAACTCGGGGAGGTGCCACTTCGTCGAAGCAAACGGTCTGGGAGTTGGCGCGGTTTGAGTTGCTCCAAAGTGACGACCAGCACCTTTGAAGGGGTCACCTGGCTGGAACCCCCTACTCTACTTTTAGATCTCGCGAAACAAACAAACAAAATCAAACAAACTCAAGCACAGCGTGGTTTGAGGCTGCCCTGCGGACATCAGTTCCATTGCCATTGCATTGACAAGTGGCAGCAGCCTTGGGTTTATCCGTGGTCCACGGAACACTGGAGCGACAACATTCGTGCAACTTGATGGATCTTGATGAGACCAAAGGAGCCCCACTGACAGTGCCTATCACGAGCACCTGTTGGGGATTTGACTCTTTGATAGAATCGTTAAATGAATTACTGTACGCACTATAAATATCTATAAATCAATCATAGCACATAATGCACATAGCTATTTCAACTTCTTGTTACACGTTTTTTCAATATGAACCAACGTATGTGATGGCACCGGTGGCACCGGTTGGAACATCGGTGGCGACTGACACCGTCGCCATGTTCAACGAGTCGAAGGTCGGGTGGAGCGATCGGCTCGAAGATCGAAGAGAGAGTTTCTAGGTCCAAGGTGTTCATGGGCAATGGACTCAATCATTTTTTTTTCTGGTCTTTTGTTCAACCAGATGCATTGGATCTCTTTTCTTCTTCCCCCAAACCTCGCTGGCACCCGCATACAACGAGGCTCCGGCGCAACAAGCGCTGCCCGCTCTGCATGCGGGCGATTGACGAGACGTGCCCGCGCCCGAGACGCGAGACCCGGGGACCGTGGCCGTAGATGGACCACACACGCAACACACGTGGACCTGAAGAAGAGGTTTTAGTGTTTCTTTTTTTGAGAGCTGCGGTGGTGAGGCTTTCACGTGGAACGAGCGGGATGTATTGTTGGGGAAGATTTGGGGGGAGAACATGTGGAACTTTCATCCCAGGTTGTGTAGTTCTTTGTGATTCATTTTGTAACAGATGACATGCTTTTGCTTTGCTTTGAAATTTGTGCTGCTGAAAGTTGCGACACCTTGAAGACTCAGGCTCCTGCTCCAAACCTGATCAACGTGAGTCGTGCAAGCAAGAGACTTAAACTTAAACCAATCCTACACCATTGGTGGTTGACCCACTGGTGGTTGACAGTAGCGAGGTGGCTGTGAAACAGCCTGCCCGGGCCTGCCCCCCGCGGGCCCCGCTGTCGATGTTTTGGCGCCCTTGATTAAACCTCCATACGGTCCATACATAATTTCTGAACGGAATTCATTCTTTTCCGAAAACCCTTGACAATAAGCCTATAAGCACTGTGAAAAAAAGAGAGCTCACGCCGCTCACGTGTTTGGCATTCGGAAGCCCGAGTCTGTGCTGCTTTGTTTCATCTCCATTTAAAAATATTAGGCTTTGTTTCATCTGATGGGATTGATGAGTGAGCCGAGCTATTCCTGGACTCACTCAAGATCTTCAGCCAGGAAATCGCGGCAGATCTTCAGCTCAAGCAGCAAACCAGCGGCTCAGTAGCGCAGCGAAGTTTGGAGATCCATCCCCATGTGCGATGGGCCAAGCGTGAGGTTCCCGGATTGGACGTTTGCTTCGCCGCGCGGCCGATCAGATCCGATGTTCGCCGCTAAGGCCGGTTCAATGCTGCCAGCAAGAAAGGCGGGCACGTGACGATCGCATTCTTTTGAATTGGACCAATGCGAAGACTCTGTGAAGGCATTGTATTTTGGCTTCAGGATCAAATTGACTCAACTGTCACGACACATGCAGTGTTGGCAGAAATAACTTGAGCAGAAAAAAACATGGACATGTCAGATGAAACAAAGTCACTGAGCAATCAACTTCGGTAGCACAACCGCGGTTTCTGGCTGTCGAGGCTAGATGATGAAATTCGCTTTGGAGTCTTCAACTTTCGGTGTGATGTTGACAAGGACGGCACATCGACGCCTGAAGCATCGAGAAAAAGAACCAGCGGCCTCAATGGGACTAGATCATTCAACCTTTGAACAGGATGATATGGACTGATGCAGACTGATGCATGTGTTTCAGTGAAAGAATCTCTTCACGGTGCTTTAAAGTACTGTATTCACTGACCAGGAGTGAGTGAGTGAAAACGGAGCATGGACGTGACCGTTGGAACGGCCGCGACACCAGGTAGGTCAACGCCCCAGACACGACCGGTCTGGGATCTGGCATATGAATCCATACCATTGGGGGTGGTGGAAGTCGGGGTCTTACTGGAAGCACATGTAAGCACATATAATATATATATATATATTATATTATATATTATATATTATATATTATATTATATATTATATACTGTACATACCAGTCCCATGGAGTGTTTGGGATCACTTCACGACTCATACTTCACGAACTCTGTCGACCACCAGATCCCCACGGCAGGACGAATGCTTACACGACCGAGTTTATGTGGCCAGCATGGCCAGCTGGAGCGAAAGGCGCGCGGCGAGCGCTTTCTCTTCGCGGCGAAAGCGAAAGCGGCGATTAAGCGGAGAACGCCAGAGATGATGAGATGTGACCAGTAGCCACCAAATACAAGCAATTGACAGAGTCAGAGAGGATTGGAGTGGAAGACTATTGATATCCATTGATATCCCATTCACGTCTATTGATACGTAGTCTATGGTCTATAGTTGTCTTGTTAGTTTGACGAGATCTGAGGTCCAAAACGCAGGCAAACAGGTCCTCCCAAAAAGGAATGGGGGTTGCATCCCCACAACTACGGCCTTTTGGGATGCATAGTGGAGGTAAGTCTCTGAAAGCCCGCGTTTTTCCAATTGTTTTCCTTCACCCGTGTCGCCGCTGTCCGCAGTGCCAGCCATTCGGCGCAGCTCGTCATCGACAATGATGAACAAGGTGTCATGTACGAGGCCAGGACGGCCTGAAATTGTGGTGGAAGTCACTGAACAGGGTAGACCGGATTAAGAGCCATCAGGGCCAAAGAGGGGCTTTTTGGGCTTTTGTTGGAAGTTGGCTACGCGTTTCCATGTCGTGCTTCCAAAATCCTTTGAAGTGACGTTCCAATTTTGCAAGGTGGCCGGACAGCCAGTGTCCATACAGACACTCAACTACTCTCCGGTCAGCAGCCCCAGCTGATTCAACCACTGAAACCTGGTGCGTGGCCAGCCGCACCTGCGGCCACCCCTCCTCCAAGGTGAGCTACGACTTCTGCGAGACCACCGACGCATCGCGGTCACAAGAGCGCTACTCCAATGCCCTGGTTGCCCACTCGGTCAACAGTCCTTCATCGGTCTGTCAGAAGCCCAGACAAGCCCCGAGGTGCATACCGCGCGGATCACCACGCGTCGGCAGCTGCTGGACCGACGGGCAGCCTGGCACAGTTGGGATTGAAAAGGGCGAGGGGCCGATGGTGATTGGTTCGCACGGATCTCGGCAGGCATGGCTTGCTTCTGCTGTGCAAGGCAGACATGCCATGCTGCTGAACAGCACTGAGGAGGCAAAGTGCACAAGCGAAGAAGTTTACAGCGGTTCGAGAGCAGTGCCCAGGTGGTTTGGAGCATGATGTTTACATCTTCTATATGGCTCAAGAAGTCCAATCACTATACTTGTCCTTAGTACTTAGTGAAGTAAAGGAAATTCCCTTTCAGGTCCCCTAAAGACAATTCTTTTGGACATGAACGTGGAACAGTGACTCGACATTGTCTATTCTTCCAAACGTAAGCTGTGATGCTGACTTGAACCCCACATGGTACGGTCAGGCAATCCCGTTGGTGCGGCATCCAGCCAAGTGCCGCCGGTCGAGCGTTTGACTTTCTGATATTGATTTGACTTTTGTTCTTATTATCTGTTGTTTTTTCAATATGATTACTCAACTTTTGGCGATGAGTGATGAACATAAGAGCTGTCGTTGTCAACAGCACCGCTTTTTCCAATCGACACCCCTTGTTTGGACACGACGTTTTACCATTTTCACCCATCCTTGAGCCAGTGGCAGCCAGGTACTTCTTGGACGACAACCATTCTGCTTTGCGCGGCACCCCAGATGTCACAGCGAAGCATTTCGGCGCTCTTGCGACGCTCGGCTCGTTGGTGTGGCGCTGGCAACCAAGCGCCACGTCCACGCCAACGGGAGCAGCTCCAGGTCCTTCCTACCGGGTGGAACAGAGCTAGAGCCGGTGGTCATCATGATGGATGCCATCCAGGCGAGGCCCGAGGCGCCGTGGTCCGACACGGTCCGCGCGGATGTTCCCAGCCGTGCACGGATGGAGCCTCGGGCGGTCTATCCCAGACCGAGGCTGAGGGGGTGATGGGAGATTTTGAGGCTCTGGCTCATGAAGCAGGTCGTGCCAACCTGTTTACTGAAATAGGGTTGCTGATTGTTTTGGACTAATCCCGAAGTGGCTAGAGTCTGTCTCCCTCTCCTTCCCTCCCTCTCCCTCTCCCTCCCTCTCTCTCTCTCTCTGTCTGTCTGTCGGTTGGTCGGTCGGTCTGTCGGTCCGTCTGTCTGTTTGTGCTACTATTGTCGATAGTTTTGGGACATTCCTCTATATAATTATATATAGCTCAATCCACTGGCCATTTACCCAAGTTTATCCCATGGGCACATGGGGGTCAATGAGTCAATACTTCTAAAAGCCATGGACCATACCAGGTAGATGATGTGGATTCTCCAGCCTGTGACTGTTCGACTGTTCTCCAAACGGCGCGTGGCAACTCAAAACTCTCTTCTCCGTGGATGGCAGACTCGAAAGTCCAAAGCTCGAAGGATGCAACTGCAACTCAGGAATGGACAACAGGGAGTCTCCTTTTCTCAAGGTGGGACAATGATCTATCAACGATCTAGACATACGTATCCAAACAAACCTCCGCTCGGCAAAGACTGTTGAAGCTCTCCTGACCGCGATAGCCGAAAAGAGGAGGGGAAACCTTTTCCCAGAGCCATTGGAGTGGCAGCCAAAGACTATAGCTACACAGTATAGCTTGTCTATATTTTGCTTGGGGGCATGCTGCATTGACTGTATCTCAGTTTGGCGAGCAACACTCGTTCCAAGCAGTTTCACCTCCCCACAACCTTCGAAAAACATCGACTTCGCCCGTCTCCAGGCGATTTGTTCCCTGACCGACAGCATGCTGCGGATCACGCAGTGGGATCTACATCTCACGGAGCTGGAGAAGAACTGCGGCATCTTGTTGAAGTGCCCCCACTCACTTCCGCGGTTCTTTTCTGGGCGTCGACCGTCGCCCGGTCCGACCCAGTCGACCCTGCGGGACACCGGCGGGTCGACTCCCACATCCCTCGACGCGGTTGGGACCGGAGATCATCGGCCCCGGCGCGCGTGGTTTTGGGGCGGAGGCCGAAGCGATCTGCGCTTTGGGAGCGAGGTGCTAAGCAGGGTGCTAAGCAGTTCGACTTACTCCCAGGTGCAGGAGAAAGCATGGCTCATTAGTATATTGTATCCAATTTTAATCATATATAGCCCACATCAGCAAGTCACAGAGTCATACTAGTAGTTATATAAATCCCCTACAGTGCCCCTCCAAATGCTTTGTGACAGAGCTGTGAGGATTCATTTGATGCCACATGACATTGATCAGATCTCCAACCAGTAGGGACCGAGTTGATGACATAGCAGTGATCGAATTGCTCTTTTGATCTGTGAAAGACGCGATATATTAGAAAGTTCTTTTGCGAAAGGCGGTGGCTTTGACCTCCGCCAGTCCGCCAGCTACTGACATATTCTGAGGCAAGGTCGACATGTTCTGCAACAGGTATCGTGATGACGATGCAGAGCAGACTTCCAAAGAGATCTGCTTTTTGGAAGAGTCTGAAGCTGCAAAGGCGGGGACCGGACCGTGATCCCGTGCGATTCCCATGCGGACCGGACCGGACCTGCCGTTGGCCGTCTCCCGTTCGACCGTTTTCTGCGCGCAACGTGCGCCGTCAGAGCCAGAAACGCGGGAGGCGAAGCTGGCAAAAGACTGGCTCGTTCGCCCGGTTGTTGTGGAGAACTCTTTGGGGGGCGATAGGGGCTTGTGGAGAAAACGTGGCAGACACAGAGAACATTTCACTGTTTGCAGTTGTTTGTTCGTCCAAATGCGGCCAGGAGTTGTTTGTCACTGTGCTCACGGTCCTGTGGCTGGAGAAGCTGCCTGGACCAAGCTGCCGTCCATGGGTTTCGCGGGACGGTCGTGTCGATGCGTTAAACTTTTGTGTCCATGGACCATCGGACCATCCATGGACGAATCAGTCTTGCGATGATCTACTGTATGTTTGGGGTTTAGGCATCAATGAGTCAATGCAATCCGAACAATGACCAATGAACATCTAATTATGTGACAGTGTAATATAATGTATGTCTACCGAACATCAGTTTTGGATAGTTTTGGCATCATATTGAATCCTAAACCAATGTAGACAATTTGTCTACTGTTGATGAATCAAGCCCCTTAGCGCCTGGAGCATCTGGAGATGTTTTCAAACATACTTGGAGCATCTGAGGGTTGTTTTCTTCATCATCTTGTCTACACGACCGACCTCTAGGGTGATCTCTAGACTCCTCAGCTGAGCTGCAGCTCCTGCCACGCCTGAGGCCTCACTCGCATTCCGTTTGGTTCTGAATGCTTTCACCCCAGGTTTGGCTAACAAAGCATAGCCTCACAGAAAAATCATCGCCCCCGTGTAGACGAAAAGAGGCAGCGATGAGTTGGAAAAGAGATCTGACGCAGTGATTGAAGAGTCACAGGTGCTTTTGTGTGGATTGAACAGTCACACGAGGTGGTCATTTTGTTGCGCCCATCCAATTCGTTTCTCGCGGCGACCCACTTCGAGGAAACATAGGAAACTGGGAGGTCGTAGTCTCAACTGCGGGAGTTCGACATCTTCACTCGTCTGGCGCTTACAGTGGTTTCAGAGCTTCGATGGCACAAGTTACCCCAAGTTTGGTGGTTTAGATGGACCCCTATCCAAAGGACATCTTTGGGGGGTTGTGCCATCGAACCTCTGAAACCACTGTAAATACAAGAAGTACTCCCCTGCCATGGAAACTTCACATGGAACTTCAACACCACGGAGGTTTGGTCTTCGCTCAATGGTCTTCCACCACCACCACTGGTCAATTCTGGTTGGGATCGTGAGCGGGAGGGTAAGGGTTCACTCATCGCGGCCCGTGACCCGTGAGACCGTGCTAACTGCTTGTTTTGGGTTGACGGCGGAGCAAGGGGTTTGCGCGGTGGGACTGCGGTGTGCGCGGTTTCCGGTTGGCGTCCGTAGCAATGGCCCGCAGGTGTGGGTTGAGTCCAAGGGGAGAGATGGGAGGAGCTGGGCAAGTGAACGTCTGACAGATCTGGCGTGTTCTTGATACTGGTATACTGGTATACTGGTAGGGCACACTTGACCGTGATGCCGGACAACGAAGTAATACTGACTGTTCCCATACTAGTGATGATAGACCACGGAGGTCTGACACAGTTGAATACATTTGATACATCGTCCGACAAGAATCAGAGAAGCAGAACAATTCCTTCGTGTGAAGAACCTTCCTCAATAAGATACAATAAGCAACTGATAGACAAGTGAAACATCTCATGGACATTCTTGATGATCATTTCAATCTGATCTCCGCACCAATGTCGGGTTTCGTTTCACGACACACAGCAGGGGTGGCGCGCCACGAAAGAAGCTCACCTACGACAAGCCTGGACTGACCGAGGACTTCATCGCGTTTGGGATCAGCAGATAGAGACAAACATGAGCTGCTCTCCAAGATCTTGTAGATGCATGTATACGATAAACTGGACCCTTGGTTTTTAGAGGCAAAACTATACCTGGGTCTATTCAAATAGGATGCACTGCGTGTCGGGCCTCTTTTTCCATGTACGTTTTGGGTTCTACGGGGTCCCTCGGAGCTGGAGGCACGAAACAAATGTGTGGCGAGACGTCCGTCTTTTCATCCAAAAGCCTCAAACAGCTGAAGCGCAGACATTGACAAATCAGAGAGAGATTATATTATATCATCATCAATATCATAGCAAGGTGACGTTCAAATCATCAAAAGCCTCAATCAGGACCTTCAAATCATCATCAATATCATCAATATCATCAATATCATCAGAGCAGACGTTGACACATTTCATCAATCTCATTCATCGCGGCTTCAGGATGAGATTGATGAGATCAGAGAAGCCTTCAACCTCTTCGACACAGATGGTTCTGGCACCATTGATCCGCCCCCTGCTTATGCGCTAAGCAAAGCTACCCCGCTGATCCGCTTTGTGGTGTGGAGGGACGTCTGACAAAGAGGTGACCAGGTACTTGGTTGATGCTTATGTATGCTTATGTTGGTTCCATGTGGGCTTCTTTGTGTCTTTGGACAAGGCTTGGAGTACTTCTTTTGACGGGTTCACCCTCGAAATCCGTTCCGCTTGACGCTCAGGGGCGAGCTCAAAGCGGCCATGAGATCTCTGGGCTTTGAGACCAAGAATCCAACCATCTTCCAGATGATCGCGGATTTGGATCACGACGGTGAGCCACTGCTTTTTGTTTAGAGAGAGAGAGAGAGTAGGTCAAAGAACTCTGACAGAACTATATACCCCACTCCCCCCACGTTTGACACTCCCTTATGCCACGCATGGCAGTGGACCATCCCCCTGTTTTGTAAAGGAACAATCAGGGAACAATCGTACGGACCCTTGGTCTACATTCCATGATTGGTTCTACATGAATGACACCTCCACCCTGCTATAGCGGTGGCCTCCACCCTTGGCCGATGGCCTTCACACCTTTGAAAAAAGGAACCGGTGCTCCGTGGAACGACTCCGTTTGGCTCGGACCTGTGGCTTCGTATTAGCGGCCAAGGTTGTTTTGGGGAGGTTGGGAGGTGGAGCTAGATCCACCTCCAACATCCAACGCATTCCAACGCCAAAAAGAACTCATATGAACTCATTTGACCTCGTTTTTGATAGGACGTTTGGCCATATGTTGGATCGTTGATCCTATATGAACCTACTGTATACCTCTATCTTGAAGCGTCTTCAATGGCCTATCTGGGAGGACAGAACCCACCCATAGGCCTTTGGAGTCGACAGGGATTGGAGCAAATCGATGTGGGGAGAAGAGGGCCCAGACCCCCTCGTTCCTTGGGCCTGCTTTTGGGACTGACCAAGGGGGGGCTACTAGCGGCTACTCATATTCACCATCCCCTCAGGCGTTCCCTCTCACCGATTTGGTCCATTACTCATTCAGATCTTCACAGCAGCAAGCCTTTAACGTGTTCGCCCAAATCAGGCATCAATAACCCTCTCCCCATGGGACAAGGATCACGGGTCGCCAGGGTCGTCCAGCGGAATCGGCTTTGACGAGTTCCTGGATGCGATCACTGCCAAACTGGTGGGGCGGCTGAGAAGGGTTTTGTTTGTTCACGTTTGTTCTGAGTCGCCAAGAGATACACACACGAACGACTAGCCCAAACGCTAGAACCTATGACACACCGATACTCACAGATACTCACGATCGCAGTTTGTAACCAAACCCATCCAAACCCCAAGCATGCCTAAGCATGCTCGTCAGTTGATCGTTCACATAGATTTCTTTTTTGAGTGACTTTGCTCAGGGGGACAAGGAGTCGCGAGATGGAATCCACAAGATCTTCAACTTGTTCGACGACGACAAAACAGGGACCGCCCAGTTTTGATCACGACAAAGGCAGGCATTTCTTGTTGTGCTCAAACAGGCTTACTTGCATACGTGCAGATGTACACCCTAGGCCCTAGAAGTCCAAAGACATGCAAAGCCTATCTTTGGCACCACCGAAGTAGAGGAAATTCCTTTTCGGGTCATCTGAATCTGAAGGCCACTTGAAAGATAGTCTTGGACTCCAGGGTACGTACATACATGCGCAGTTCCTTATTGCTCACTATCATATCTCACCTCACTCAATTCATCCCTGCCTCTTTCATCCCTGCAGGGACCGAAGGGACCTGTATCTCTCGTGAATCCTTTGTTCCTTCGTTCGTTCGTTTCTCCTGACCTCTCGGCGTCGCCTCTCCGTGTCGCTTCGCGTATTCCCCGAAAGGACCATCAGCCTCAAGAACCTCAAGAGAGTCTCGAAGGAGTTGGGCGAAACCATGACCGAAGAGGAGAGCGCGGGAGCCGCTCTCCGCGCTCGGGAGCCGAAGAGGGAGCTGCGAGGTCCAGAAGTTCGGTCTGGTGTTCAATGGAGTGAACGTTTGACAGGTGTAGTTCTGGTCTACCCTCCATGGTTTTCAGAGAATCTGGAAATGGATGGAAATGGTGATCTTTGGAATACCAGAGCCCTGACCATCCAATCATACCAAACACACACCGCACCGTGTCTCTGGGTCTCAGAGCCTGAGATCGGGTTTCCAATGGGAGTTTTGCTCCTGTCTTCCAATACTTGGCCCATCCTTCAAAGCGTTTTTCTTTGACTCGAATTGGATGAGTTTCGACTTGAATGCAGTTTTTCTTGTTCTTCGACTCGAGTTTCGAATTGGTTTCGACTTGAATTCAGGGCCCATCCCCTCCTCTCTCGATGCGATGTTCGAACGGAAAGTGGACAGAACTTGGGAAGACCGTCCAGATGAGTTCAGCCTATTGGGAGGTTCTTCCCCTACCCTTGGAGACTCGGTGAAGAAGCCCCGCCACACCGCGGCACGGACGCCCGCCGTAGCTCTCCCTCCCTCCCTCCCTCCCTCTCCCTCCCTCCGCAACCCACCGCCGTACCACCCACGCGCTGTCCGTCGACGGCCGTCCAGGAGCTCAAAGAGATGATCGAGCGAGCCGATTCCAATGGAGATGGTCAGATCACTCCAGAGGACCGAAGGAAGACCCGAAGACTGACCGCGGACGGCGGCCCGTTAGGACGGCTGACCGCCGCTCCGCGCGGTCCGAACGGCGGTCCGTGGATCCACGGGAACTTCTGTGTGCCACGAGAGCGTTGGGACTTGGGACCCAAAAACCCATCAAAAGGCAACACAGTCAGTGATGTCAGTGGCTTCGAGGTTCCGATGTTCTGAGGCTTCGAGGTTCTGATCCTGAGGCTTCGCATCAGTCACATCCGTCGCATACGTCGCATCAGTTCGAGCCGTCGTCGTTTCTGGACCATCCTGAAGACCGTCGGCCGTTCTCTTTTTTTTGGCGTCGCTCTCCAGGATTTTTACAACATCATGACCAAGAAGACTTTCCCATAGGACTTTAGGACCAGCTGCATCAACTTGCAGCTCTTGGCGTTGAAGCGGACATGGACATAGGAAACAAACGGCGCAGCATCACCTAATCCATATTCAATCTAGTGTTGTTTTCAAACAAATCATTATGACGATTCACAAGGATGCACTCAAGAACAGCCAAAAGGTCTGGCTTCAATCTGCGAGAGGTCGCACGTAGCATAGCATCTGCTTTGGATAGCTGAAATGCCTTGAAATCACATGCAAGAGCAACGCCGACCCACTGACTCAGCTCAAGGCCTGAGCTTCGACCAGGGCATAGCTATCAGCTGAATTAGTGCAAGGCCCTGCAAGGCACCCTGAGATCTGGATCAACCAGCCTGGCAGAACAGAGATGGTGTGAGCTGAGGGACCCATGGACCACTCACATTCGAGCACGATTGCTGCTCAACTCAGTTGTGCTGATGGACATCGCCGTTTTGCGCTGTTGGCTCAATTGCGAGAGGCATAGTTCGAGGTCACATTGAGAGGTCACCGAGGCCGGAAGAATTCCAGGCCTTCTGGATCCTTCCGGTCTCCAGGCCTCTCCGATTCGGTCTCCAGGCCTCTACGTAACTACTCGTTCGCCACTCCCTCCACTCGTCCGGACAAAACCGGCCCACCAGGTTGGACATAAATCATATCTGGGAAGCACGAGTTTGTCTGGAAGCCTGACCAGTCTGGTTATCCAAACACATCAACAAAAAGTTAAACCGTGTTTTTAGGTTTCACGTAGGCCAATCCAATGTTTTTCCTGTTTTGGCTCGCCAGTCTGCGGCCATGGATACAACCAAACTGTCTGATGGAGTTCATGACATCTTGCTTCGTGCCAGAGGCCATGATGCAGGGCCAGGTTCTGTAAGCGAGCTTCATCTGAAGCATTTGTTGGCCTTGAACCTTCGAAAGCTCGGAACTGCGGAGCTAGGCTTTGTTCCCCGGAGCTACGTTCTCAAGGACTTGGACTTTGAAGAGGAGTTTCAGGAGTTTCGTCGCTTCTCAGAAGACTTCAAGATCTCTCGGGCTTTAGCGCTGGTGAAATGGGTCGCACAGGAAGGACACGCCACGCGGCAGGTGCCCGAGGTGAAGGACGCGAGCCGCCAAGCCGGGCGTACGGAGGTGGAAGGCTTGTGGGGTCGCGAGCTGCCGGACATTACTTGGGATGATGAGGAGGATGAGGAGGATCCGGAAGGTCTTTCGGATGAAATCCTTGAGACCTCCTTGTCGATCCTTGAGGCCACCCTGGCTCAACGGTGACCTGGCGATCGGTGTGGGTTTTAGATAGCAATAGCTATATGGGGTCATAGGGGTTCTTACTTCTCAATGAGTTAGTTGCTCTTTTTTTTTCCAAGACAGCTATAGGGGTTCTTACTTATTTATCAATGAGTTAATTGCTCTCTGGGGTCTATGCCTGGTGTAATTGTCTAAGTGGTGGTGGTCTTCTTTCGTTCACATCACTCTAACTCCGATCTCGGCTGGTCCATGACAGCTGACTCGAATCCAAACGTCAACCCAGATCGGGTCAATGTTAACATCAGTTAACTGGGTCGACTTTTGGATTTTAAGTAGGAGTTGGTTTCTTGTTGGCCTCGCAGTAGGGCCCAACAGGATTCTTTTAGAAGGGACCCAAGATTAACCCGAAGTAGGGGTCCCTCCGAAGTTACTGGATGCTACAAGTGGCACGCGAAGTAGGTTGTACATGGTCCATGTTGATACCAGTTTCATGGGGGGTTTAGTTAGATGAACACATCCCCTGACTTGGTCCAGCTGCTTGGTCACGTCATGAACATCCAGTGGGTTCCAATGGAGAGTCTAAACAGCTCCATGGAATCTGCAGATGCCTGTCACCAACCAACAGAAGTTGAAGGACCTTATATATACTAGTTGCCATATAGACTATCCCATAGGTACCCCAGTAAGGTCCTTTGTAAGGTCACTTAACCTCTCTTGGCAATCTCCCAAAAGGGGTGATCAGCAGGGCGCCCGAAAAGGACCTGGCTGGATTTTGCTTTTCGCCTTTTGGACGCCAAAATGACTCCGACACCCCCGCTGGATGGTGAAGCCGCTCCAAGAAAAGCCACATCCGCCGAGGCGTGCTGTTCGAGGCGAGACGCGCCGTCCCTTCGACGTCTCCGCCGCGGATGCGCAGTCCTGGGTGCGTGACGTGGATTGGCAACGGATCCGGCGAGTGGATTGGGCACGCACGTGGAACACTTCCGTGGGGTCAGAAATGATGGAACGATGCCGGAGCTGCGTCGGAAGCATCATGAAAGAAATGCCTGAGCTGCAGGCAGGAGGTTTTCCATCTTTGTCCGGGTCCGAGCTCTTGAACGACCATACATGGCCATCTCTTTTTTCATGTGCAAAAGCATGCAACGGATCTTTATATAACTTATAAATAGCCTGCTAGCATGCCTGCCAAAGCACTAGTCTTGCCGTGTCAGGTCACCTTGTTACACCGGAATATTTGGGCTTTGAAGCCCAGTTGTGGACAGTTTGGCCGCGGCATTCTGCTCTTCGATCGTTTGCCACTAGACCCCCAGCAGCTGCTGAAGTGGGCCGCGGCGGTGGGGCGGGGAGGACTCAAAGGGGGAAACGATGTGAAAGAAGGCTGTCTCTGGGTGGTGCTTTGGAAGATTTTCTGGTCAATTGATGGACTACCTGACTGAGTCATTTCATGTCATTGTTCCATATTTATCCATATTTTGCCTATTCTATTTGGGTGGTGCTTTGTATTTGTCCCATCCCTCTAACTGGGAAGGTTGACATTGCACTTGACTCTTTTCGGTGGACATAACAACTCACTGCCAGGTGTCTTGCAGAAACTCATCGAGGAACCCCATTTGCTGCACGAGAACCTATGTGCAAACTCTTTCTTTGCGTCCTCTCTTCCTGCGACGTTTAAGTACAACTTGCGGATGATTGTGCTGGCTACCCTGCGAGATCCATGCCGACTTTGGTTGTACAGAGAGGGCTTTGTGAGTTTGGCCATGAGCCCTTTCACTCCGCAACTGGACCCCTCGAGTCATATCACCAACCTGAGGCAGGGATCTGGATATGAGAAGCAACGGCGATGGCCGATTCGAGATTTGGACGCCTATTTGCTGGCCTCTGGTGCTTCATCTTTTGACGAGATGTTTCGACCTCAAGTCAAGAGCGTTGTTTGTTCCCTCTTCCACGCACTGAGCTTAAAGCCAACTTCTCTCCTTACACTGGATCCCGATGAAGCTAGTGGGCGCAGCGCGGCAGGGAAGAAGCTGCGACGCTTTGGCTTTGACTTCTTGATCGACAAGACTGGAACGCTTTGGCTCCTGGAAGTCAACTTTTTGAAGAACGGCTATGCGCTGGGCCACGCACAATCGGGGCCAGCAGGTGATGCAAAGCGGGACTTTGTTCAAGATTTTATGGCAGAGGAGACGTCGCTAAGAACTGCTATAGCAGGGGAGCAAGACAAGCTACCAGCTTCCTTCGA